GTTCCTCCTCCAGCCCTTGGGTCCTTAGCCATACCCACTCTCATTTGCCGGACAAAAGAAGCCCAGGGAAAACCAGAAGGAAGACTGGCCTAAATGCCCCCCCCAGTTTCGACTCTGGCACGGACGCAAAACGTCACTTTGCCACGCCACGCTCCTCCAAATGCCACCCAACTGAACTAGAGCGAGCGGGGAGTTCCCTGCCCGCTTCTCAGGCCTCTCAGCACCGCAAAGTACCGTGGCGAGTACCATCTCACTCAGGCGCGGGTGGCAGGAGCAAGCATACTCACATGGGAAAGACGGTAACGTGTCCGGAAGCCGTTAGGGAAGCCGCGCAGGCATTGCGTGAGATGACCGCCTTGCTCATTTCTGGCACCTGCAATCAGAACGGAAGCAGACGATGGGAGGTGGGGACACTGGCAATGGCTGGCAGCTCCAGTCTCTCTCAGCCCAACACGACGAGAGCCGCCACAGGGAAGGGTCCGGGCCTCAGCAAGCCTTGCTGTGCCTGTGCCTCTGCTCCGTGCTCTGAGCTGGGGCTGCGCAGTGACGCGCACCGTTTGTCCCTTGACAAAAAGCGAGGCCTTTTGAGGGCGCGTATCCCCGCGCAGAGCCGGGCCACCTCACGTACAGGAAGAGCTCTCCAGAGCCCGCTTTCCCGCACACCGCCAGGAGCCCGGCTGGCTGGAGAAGCATGGCACGCCAGGAGAAAGCAGTCCCCTCGTCCCCGGAAGGCGTTTCAGAAGAATCAGAGGTAGTGCTGGGAAAACGCAAGACCTACCCCAAGAAGAGCCTGCAGCGCCTCGGCAGTCCCATTGAGCTTCCCCAAGAAGTCCTCGTAGAACTTCATCTGGACACGCTTCCCTTCGATCAGCAGCATGCCGACATCCCACCAGACGAAGGCAACGTTCTGCCTCTTCCCTATGCAGGCGCTGAACTGGCAGACGGTCCTTTGCACGCAAAGCCGCGCCGCGCCTTCAGAGATGCCGGTTTCCGAGGCTATCTCATCATAAGGAAGTTGCTGATACTCGTCGTGTCCTGGAGAAGCGAGAGGAGAGGAGCGTGAGCACTTGGGGAGCCATGGGCAGGCCACGCTCAAAAGGCAGCAGCTTCCAGGCCCTCGGGCAACGCACTGCTGTTCTGTAGTCTTTGAGATTGTGAGGCGGAACCATTGGTACGTCTCTGTGGAGACGCTGAGACGCGGAGCCGATGAGACCGGAATGAAACCTGCTGCTGAAGCAGCTGAAGGAGTGTGCTGCTACCCTCTGCTGCCATTTGCAATGGCAGTCTGTCACACTGTCCCCACCAGAGTGCCAGGGCAGGCTCCTCTGTCAGACTCCACTCTTCCTACCTGCAACGTCTACGTAGTCGTATTGGAGGTCGTGGTCCTGCGCAAGAGCCTTTGCCAGATGAAACACGGGTCTCTCAACAAGAACCACATTGTTCTGCTGGTTGACCATGTGCTCTCTGACAACGGTGAAAGCGCCCAGTTCAGGAATGCTCACAGCCTGAAAGAGGAGAAAGGGCGGATCAGAAGAAGTTGTGCAGGGAATGACGGAAGACTATTTCCCTCTCGCCCCTCCTCCCCGTGAAGAACCAGAGAGCGCAGTCTTCTGGCTCATAAAGACACAAGCGGGGCTCCCAAACTTGCAGTCACCCCCACAGGATCCCTCTGACTCTGCCGGCAGAGGAAGGAAGCACGCAGGCCCAGAAAATGCCCAGCCCTCTTTCCATCATTAGGCCTGGAGCCCCTGGCAGTTCAGAGCTGACGGTGGAGCCAGCCCGCGGCCCCCGTCTCGCATCGCGGTGCCCCTCTGGGGCGCGGGTCCTGCTTCCACGGAGGGCAAGAATAGCTGCGCTCCGTGGCAAATGGGCCATCGGGGCTGAATCAACCGCGAGAGGGACGAAGGGCGTAGGAGGCAAGTCCCACCTGGTAGAGAGCCAGCTGTCGGCCGAGATAATAGGATGTGCTGAACCAAAACTTAGCGAGCTCTGCAAAACAAAAGGAAAGACGCGTCACGCTCCCAGGCGGCCACCTCCAAACCCTTCAGCACGCCCAATTCCCGCCACAGGAACGGCGCGCTGCTGAGCCTTCCGAGCCATTCGGTTCCGCCGGCGGCTTCTGCTCGCAGATCCCCGGGAAGGCAGGGGCCAGGCCGGGAGCAGAAGCCAGCAGCCGCGCCCGCCCGAGCGCTCCTCGCGCCCCCGGGCTGCCAAGGCAGCCGCCTTCGCGCCGCAACCCGCCCTGCTCAGCCGTCCCCGCCTCCCTCCATCCCTCCCTCAGGAGCAGGGCTTCCACACCTGCGCTCGGAGCTGTCACCGGCCCGACAACACGCGCGCGCCGCCGGGCCCGAAGGCCTTACCAGACTTCCGGATCATCTCCGCAGTCGGAGTCGAGCGGGGTCTCGAGAAGAGGGAGTTCGCCATCTTCCTTCCCCCCTCGCCGCAGGTCAACGACCGCGGCGGGCGGGCGGCCGGCCAAACGGCCCTCCTCCTCAGCCCTTCGCCCCTGCCCTCCCGCTTCTCTCTGCCTACTGCTCCTCACGGAACGGCGGATGCTCCAGAGCACGGCGGCGAGATCAGCTCCTCGGCGAGCGCCCGGAGCCTCGTCGGCCTCTCTGGGAAATGAGGGGTCGGCGAGCTTCGAGGCGGCGCTCACCGCTGCGACGCGCGCCGTGCCATTGTGAGCTCAGGCCGCGTCACAGAGGGGCTGCCGCGCCCTGCCGTCAGAGCGGGCTCCGGGCAGGGACGCCTTCGGGGAGCGGGCCTGCGGCAAGCGGGCTCTCCTGAGCGGGAGAGCGGCGAGCTGCTGGAACGGGCCGCCTGCCCGGAGAGGCTGCGGGCAGAGGCCCCGTCCGGCCCCCGAGGCGTTCGAGGCCGGCTCGGAGGCGGCCCGCTCCGCCGTGACACGGGGAGGTCGGCGGACATCCGCGATCCTCGGGGCGCCTTCCGAGCCGGGCCGTTCTGCGGTTCCGCGGGCCTCCCGGCGCTGCGTCGCGACCGACGGGGCCTTCGCCTGGGCGCGAAGGGGCTCGCCCCGCGCTCCTCGCTCGCTCCGCGTCCTCGGACCGAAACGCCGGGCCCGAACCGCCGACGGCTTCTGGCCGCCCTCCGGCGACTCCTCCCGCCTTCGCCTGGGACTCGGACGCCTGGGCTTCGGGCGGAGGGCGGGCGGGCCCCGGTGGCGGCCCGCGGGAACGGAGCCCCGCGGCTTCGCCGGCCGAACGCGGCCCTGCCCGGAGCCGAGGCTGCAGCGCCTGAGGCGCGGACTCAGGTGTGACCGATCCTCAGCGTCTGCTACCAGTGCTCACGGCACTTCTGTACCTTCACGGCCTTCCTGTTCCGGGCTTCGCCAGCCGCCCTTAGGCGCCAACAGAGCGTTCCGCAAACGCCCTTCAGCCCTTCGTGCGGGCGCTCATCCACTCACAGCCGCTCTTTCTTCTTCCTCAGCTGTCCTCGGTTCTCGTGCCGTTTAGCTTGCTCCACAGCTGCTGCTCCGAACGGTTCTCCTTGTCTTCCCACAGTTCCCCCCTTTCTGTTTATTTGCAAACTACAACATAATAACACCAATTGTCTTGCTAAAATAATGGGTGTAACTCAATCGAGCCCTCGACTGACAGTACTCCGAGGCAAGGCAAACACAGCATAATGACAAGAAACACTGTCAGCCCACTGAAAAGAACAACACACGTTTGGCTGCAACCCAAGTTTCTGCAACCTGGAAATAAATCCCTGAGGGTCCCGTTCTGTGTAACTGGTTAGGAAAAGGTCTTCAACTTTTGCATATTCTGATGGATTCTGATTCTGAACGATCACTAAAGGTGGATGGGAAAGTTGCAGGAACAGAACACTTGTGAAGGTACAGAAGTGACGTGAGCACTGGTAACACACGATGAGGATGCATCAAATCCTGTTTACTCACATTCGATCCACTACTGAAATAAAAGAAGCACGCAGCAACCTAGATAACGCCTAAGAATTCCAATTCTTGAGACCGCCTTGACAACACAGGGAAATCACCCGCTACATCACACCATTACTGACGTTGTTATGTGCAATGCAACACATGTTACAAAGCAGTGCCAGCAAGCAAGAAGCACACAATCCCAGTCGTAAGGGATGATGCTACTTTCTGCCTTGAGAGGAGGACGAGCACGTCGTGCTGGAACCCACGTGGGGCCAGTCCCTGTGGAAGCACAAGCATATCCACGACCCCAAGCTATCAGCGGACAGGGACCTTCCCAGCAGCGCGGGGCCGTGCTCCGGACGTTGACCATTGGCCGTTCCTCGAGCACTGGGCAGGCCCCGAAATGACGATCCACACCAGTTGCATCTGTGTGGTGACGATTCAAAACAGTCAGCACAAGCAGAGCCTTGCATAATCTTTCTCGTGGCGCGTGTCCCGTATTCCCCTTCTTTGTTCCTTACGAACGGACTGCAGCGTTTGATGAGTGTGCTCGATGGTAGCTTGTGCAGCGGGAGAACGAGGGATGCCTGCAATGCGCCCAATTCCCACAGAAGAGTGTGGGAAAGCAGCTTTGCGTTCCCTTTGCTGAAGGAACTGGGGACCAGGTTTCAAGATTGCTGAAAAAACGGTTTCGTAGAAAGGAGAACAAGGAAAATTATCCTTGTTAGCCCGTGTCCACCAACTTCATCATAGATTTTGCCTGTGGCCCAAGACAATTCCTCTTCCTTCATTCAGGGCGTTCTTATCTTGCGCAGTCCTAAGCTGATGACCAACTATTCTGCCTTCCACATTGTCGAGACAACATGAGTGCCAAGCAAGGCACCGAGGCCAGTAGAGAGGATGGAGAAATGGGTAAGCAAATTTACCAACGTTTTCTGCCAATCCTGTGTACGTGGCCCCTTCGTATCAATGCCTTTGCTGTTTCCTGAGCTTCTGACCTCAGCAACTAGCAGAAGAATTAACGGAACGTGTGATATCCATGCTGTTCTTTCTGCTTCTTGCGGGTGTAATACGCTGTCCTTGCTGTTTCTTGCAGAAATCATCCTTTGTTGAAATTAAACAGCGCCATCATAACCCCACATATTGGAACTGCAACAGTTCCCCCGGGCGTCCTGGTGGACGACAGGTCGGCCGTGAGCCAGCAGTGTGCCCTTGTGGCCAAGAGGGCCAACGGCATCCTGGGGTGCATTAAAAAGAGCGTGGCCAGCAGGTCGAGGGAGGTGATCCTCCCCCTCTACTCTGCCCTGGTGAGGCCTCATCTGGAGCACTGCGTCCAGTTCTGGGCTCCCCAGTACAGAAAGGACAGGGATCTCTTGGAAAGAGTCCAGCGGAGGGCCACAAAGATGGTGAAGGGCCTGGAGCATCTCCCTGTGGAGAAAGGCTGAGTGAGCTGGGTCTGTTCAGCCTTGAGAAAAGGAGACTGAGAGGGGACCTGATCCAGGTCTATCAGTATCTGAGGTGTGGGGGGCAGAATGGCGAGGCCGGACTCTTTTCAGTGGTGAGTGGAGACAGGACAAGGGGAAACGGCCGGAAACTGCAGCATAGGAAGTTCTGCACCAATGTGCACAAGAACTTCTTTACAGTGAGGTGACGGAGCGCTGGAACAGGCTGCCCAGGAAGGCTGTGGATTCTCCTTCTCTGGAGATGTTCAAGACCTGCCTGGATGCCGACCTGTGCGACCTGCTGTAGGGAACCTGCTTTGGCAGGGGGTTGGACTCGATGATCTCTGGAGCTCCCTTCCAACCCCTACAATTCTGTGATGCTGTGATTCTGTGTGATTCACGCCACCCACGTGATGACAGAAGCAGCAATAGCAAACCTGTCAGAAGTCACGGAAGCGGGGCACGGGATGGGTTTGGCTTGATCTTGTAGAGCCGGGGTGGAAAATCAGTGTCTAGCAAATGGAAGTAAGGTCAGGTGACAGCAGTGAACTACAGACACGCTGTTCACCTCTGTAGGAGAAATATTCACGTGGGCAAAGCTCACCTGGAGTTGAAGGGGGCCCGTACTGTGGGAGACAGGTATCAAAAAGTGCGTTTTAAAATACGTCCGATTTTTGTCTGAGTTACTGGAAAACACACGCAAGACGGGAAACAGCAGCCCAAAGAGGATTGACAGGATGCTGTCTCAGAACTGACTTAGAGCTGTTGAGCCGTTAAGCCTGGGCTCAGAAAGCCCCACTGGCTGAGCACGTCACCTTTTGAGCACAGGCATTCCTGGCTTCAGCCGTGGATCTGCCAGCAATGGCAAGGGGCAGGATGTGGAAGGGGCCGCCCTCAAGCCAGCCAAAGCAGCCGGGGGCAAAGCTGTCAGCGTGCAGATTGCACAGCCACACTGGTGACACTAGAGAAGGCTCCCAGCTCCCAGCTCCCACTCCGAGATGGAGCTCGGAGGGAGGAGGACCGGGCTTTCCTCCTCATCTCCTCACGCAAGGTTTCTGCCTTGGATTTCAGCACCCTCGCAGCACACTGTGGTGCCCGTGCAGCTCCGGGTAGCCCTGCCGATGCAGGCCCGGGAACCCTGGGGAGGGGAGCACCTGGCTTTACAAGGCCCCTCTGTAAAGCGCGCGTTTCACGGCGACCAAGGAAAGAGCCACGGTGTTTGGGGATGGGGTTGGGGTTTATTGGGTATAGGGAAAGGGTAATATGGAAAGCGGCGACGCCTTTAACAGTGTCACCGTGAGCGTCGCCGACAGTGAAAGGTGGTCCTCGTTGAGCTGTTGGGTGACACTTAGTGGATGTCTGGCTCCAGAATCTCACTGCTGCTGGATCTCTCGTGGTCCTGGTCGACGTGCCTGACCACGACTCTCCGGACCTGAGGAGTTCAGTGTAAAGCTCAGTAGTTTTGTGAGCGCAGAGACACGCAGCGCAACGCTGCAAGTCTCTCTGCAGTACGAGAGAGTGGTTCTGCTCATGCAGGTCTAGAGAGAGCAGGCTCCTGGTCCCTGTGATGTAACTGCAGCCCTTGTGGCCAGTCCCGATCTGGGGTAGCCTGCTGTGGGGCTGACTGACCAGGCACTGAGTCAGGCGGTGGCTGAGACCTCGGCCCGGGCAGATACAGGCTGTGAGAGCGAGGTGCTCGGGGCTCTGTGTTCTGGGAGGAGAGGGAGGGACGCCGGTTGGAGAACGGAGGGCCGCCAGACCCTGGCCGACACCTCAGAGCCTTCCGCCTGCAGCTGCCTGAGCTGCGCTGGGAACCTTCGTCCCCAGCGCCCGCTGGCTGGGTGTCTGTGCGGAGGTCTCCAGCTCCACCGCCAGCCGCTCTCCATCCCACAGGCCCAAGAGGGTCTTCCCTTGGCTTGCTACGGCTAGCTGTGACACGCTGCTTACGGGAGCCCACTTACCACTCTGCGTGACGCCTTCTCTGGCTTTGGTCCAGCAGGGGGTGCAGGTCTGTGCTCCGCTCCTGGCAGATGGAGGAGGCCAGGTGCGTGTGTGGATGGCCGACTCCACCACAGCACTGCAAGCTCACTGTAGGCACAGAGCGGGAGGGGGTGTGAGCACAGGGAGACCGGCCTCTGGCTGGGGCTCCCAAGCTTGGTGCCTGCCACCACTGCTGCAGGTGGCCGTGCCGAGAGCCCGCGTCCAGGAAAGGCCCCTCTTTTGCCCTGGTGCTGCAGGGGGTGGGAGAAGGGCAGTGTGGGAGAGCAAGCTGCCTGTCTGGAGAGCTTTACCTCTGGAGCCGGTCCTGCAGATCCTTCTCTGCGTCTCTCCGGCCCTGCTGCTCACGGGACACCTGCCCCACAATGAGCTTCACCACCTCCCGCAGGGCCTCATCTGTCCTCGAAGAAAGCTTCCTGCAACAGCGAGCACAAAATCCGTCTCACTCTTCAGCCGTGACGCCCCTGCCTCTTTCTTCACCCAGTCTGTTCCACGCGTGGCCCCACTTGGCCCCACAGCCACTCTGACGCAGGACGACTTCCACGCGTGGGCTGCCTTGGGCTCCACAGAGGCTCGTGGCATCGGGCCCTAACCACGACCGTATCCACGGCCTCAGAGCTCTCCGGGCGCTGCGTGCGGCACCACGACTCAAAAGCTGGCTTCCCTGATCCACAGCACAGGTGACTCACCACCCCCCTGCCCCTGGCCTCGGGTGCAGTTGGTGCACGCTTACCGTTTAGGCAAAGCAGCGCTGTCCCAGAAGACTGCGCGCGGCTCTTCCTCGGCCTCTTCCTGCTTCCCCATCATCCTCTCTCTCAGGCTGGGGGAGGAGCTGGAACTCTCTGTCTCGCTCCCAGACAGAGAGATTGAGTATTCTTCCTCGGTGACAGAGGTTTCCTGCATAGGAAAAGACACTCGGCGCTGTGGTGCTGCTTCCCAGCATGCAGCTCCCCGCAAGACCATTCCAGTGGGGACTGCAGTGGGGCAGGAAAAGAATCAGGAGAGGGACCTCAGCACGCTCTTGAGGCCATGTCTCAGCGTGACCAGGGCTTTGTTACAGCGCCCTGTTGGGTCCTCTTGCTCACAAAAGGCAGCAGTCCCCCACCCAGCGCTGCTGCACCACCACTACTGCTCTGGCCCGGGCGCCAGAGGCACCATGCAGTCTCAGCTCCCCTGGATGGGAAAGTGCTGCTGCTTTCTTGCAGGGATGCAAAGTACCTGGGCCGCTGGCAGCTTCACTTCTTCCGGCTCAGCTTCCGTGTCCTTCTCTTGCGACTTTTGCTGCTCGCCTTTTTCTGCTTTCTTCCCTTGCAACTTTTGCTGCTGCTTTTTCTGCGTCACTTTTGGAAATTTCTTCTCCTGCACCTCCTTCTCCGGCTTCACCTCCTTCTCCGGCTTTACCGGCTTCGCCTCCTTCACCGGCTTCACCTCCTTCACTGGTTTGACCGGCTTCACCGGCTTCACCGGCTTCACTGGTTTCACCGGCTTCACCGGCTTCACCTCCTTCACCGGCTTCACCTCCTTCACCGGCTTCACCTCCTTCACCTCCTTCACCTTTTTTGCCTCCCTCTCCTTCCTCACGTTCTTCCCCTTCTCCTCCTCCTTCCTCACATTCTGCCTCTTCACCACCTTTCCTTTCTTGGTCTCTAGAGCCTTTGCTTCGAGGTCGGCCTAAATGCAACAACAGGCAACGTTAGTCTCTGTGGAGGCTGAGGGCTTTCCCCTCCTGACTCCATTTCACCCTCTACCTCCCGCCTTTCTGGTCTGCTGCCAGGCTCCCGCGGACTCGACTGAAGAGCCCTTCTGCAACAGCCAGGAAAATAAACAACCACTAAAGGGCTAAAGGCAGCTGGCAGTTCTAGACAAGCAGTCAGGAACACCCCCAGATCAGCTCCTGGGGTGGCTTGCGGGAGGCTAACGGCAGTGAACAGCTTATTCCCAATCGCCCTCGCTGCTGATCTCTCTTCAAGCGAGGTGTCGCGTGAACGCGCAGCAAAGAGCGCTGTGAGAGTCAGTGATGCTCTTCTACAGTTCACTGAGACAAATGTGCTGCAGCAGTCTGTGCCACGTACCATTCTCTTCTTCTCCCTCGCTATGGCAAAGAAGTCCACCATCCGGGGACCAGGCAGAGGAACTACTTTCTCTTGCTCTTCCTTTTCTGGCAAGGATCTCCTCGGGATGGCCGGTAGCTGCCTGTAAAGACACGGTGGGGAGAGTTGACAGGAGGGCAGGAGGTGCTGGGTCTGCGTTGCGTGCTTGAACGTGTTTCAGCAGCCTCCTCAGCAAAAAAAGTCTGCAAGAGCCCCCAAATGACTGAGCTGGTCTCTACCACCTCCCTTGGAGACCTGGGAACAGCCTGCGGCGCTGACAGCAGCCCACAAACACGCTCACTCTGCTCAAACGCTCCTAGGAAAGGAACACCCTCATCCCTTCCCGGGACGTTTCCTGTCCCTTTGGGCACCGGGCTCGGCAAACAGAAAGGCCCGGTTCGCTTCCACCTGAAGGGAAGCAAGAAAGTCTCTGCGCTCTCGCGAGGAGCACTTGCCATGAGTTACCCAGCTCAGAAGGGATGCTACGGGGCGTCTGTCATGCAGAGCTGCTTGAATCCATACAGCCTCTGGATCCGGGAGAAACTTCGCTCCCACGGAGGCAAGAGCGTGGCACCGCCCGCATTTCTTTGGCCAGGAGTCTCACCTGGTGCGAGGCTCTTTCTCCTCGGCTGCCTGGTCTCTGCCCCGCATTCCAGTCAGTGGCGGTAACCTCCTGGGAGGAAGCGCTGCGCGATGAAGGAGGCGCGTCTCGCAAAGGTCCCCTAGAAAGAGGAAAGGGGAAAACTTCCAACAGCTGTGCTTCTGGCACGGTTTTGGTCCGACTCCTCATGGCTGTGGGGCAACGCTGTTCCCTGGGGAACGCTACCTGAGGCCTTCATCTGGTCTGTGTGCTGAAATGGGGGAGGCCCTGGCAGTTGCCGGTGGTCTCAAAGAGCCATCGTGGGGAGGGGACTCGTTTAGCACAAGAGGAGCTGGCTCTTTCATCTCTTGATGCACGTCCCACGCACACAGCTTTGCTACTGGGGCGTGCTCACACCAGAGGAATTGCTTTTGAGACATCGGAGAATACGAAGGGAAGCGAGGGGAGGGATTTCCAGGGCTGGCAGGGCAGGCAGCCGAGTGGAGGCCACTGGGAAAGTGTCCTCTGCTGGGATGATCCCCGTGGCCACTTGTGATGGAGGGCTGCCCTGAGAACTCTCTTCGCAATGGATCGCTCAGGCTTTCCCATAACGGTACAAAGAGTCACCGGAAGCGTCTCACGCTCTTCCGGGCGCCCTGTGGTAAGGTCAGCTCTAACCGCCTCCAGACGAGGAGGAAGGCAAACACAGAGTCCCCCGATGGCAACCCCCGGGTCCCTCACCTTTCCTGCCTCTTGCCCAGTCTTGCCCACGTCTGGTCTTCACGTGGTACTTCAGGTCCACCTTTGCTGTGTCGGGCGTTTCAAGTTCGATCTCGTGCGTGTACCTGGAAGAGGAAGCAGCGGGCTGAAGGAAGGGCAACGCTTCCCCTCGCGGCGTGACCCAATAGCGGAGCGACAGAGACAGAACGCAGAGACGCTGTAAGGCCACGCTTCCCAGAGCAGCTCATTCTGGAGAACCGTACCAGGATCTCCAGTGCCTGGAGGGGCAGGTGAGGCCCGTCGGTGCGTGCCAGTGTTCTTCTGTCCTTGCTGTGAGAGCAGATGAGCTCCCAGCCAATCCCCCTGCCTGCTCCAGAGGAGGAAATATTCCCCTCTCGCTCAGAACAGACCGGTTGCTCCCCACCCAGTTACCCAACAGCCCTTTTCGCTCTCTTCTTGCCCTGCGACTTTCTTGCAGATTAACGTCCTCGCAGCTCTGAAGGCTCAACTCCACGCCCCCCGCCCGCACCTCTTTTGGGTGGCACTGCGCAGCAGCGACGGTATGAGACAGAGCTCTGCGGAAGCCCACCACGCTCGAGCTCCCGTCTGCACAACCATCTGTTCCTCCTCCAGCCCTTGGGTCCTTAGCCATACCCACTCTCATTTGCCGGACAAAAGAAGCCCAGGGAAAACCAGAAGGAAGACTGGCCTAAATGCCCCCCCCCAGT